TATAATGCAATACCTCTAGATATAAAGCAAACACGAATTTTTAGAAATTACAAAATGCTCGTTAAGAAATTTATTGAAACAAATAGTTCCTTAGTGATATACTTATTGCAAAACATGTAAATACTTGTCTTCCCTTCAGTTTTTCGAAACAAATAACTACTAACGAAATATCCAATCTCCAATAATATATGTCAACCTGTAGACACTAATCATCAATTGTTTAAATACTAACACAAATGTATTGTTGTGATCTGTCGGAAAACTTATATAAAAACTAATATGTATACCATGACGAAGTAGGAATAGAGCACAAAACAAGCCATACTGCGCTTAGGTGACTATTTCTGCTTTGAAAAGGTGATATTGTATTGAAATTGTGATGTAAATGTTTTTGAAGATGAATAAATCTGAAATCTGAATCTGAAAAATCTGAAAATCTGAATCTGAAAAATCTGAAAATCTGAATCTAGTTAAACCTATTCTAAACAACTCAAATAAACCAGTGTGGATCGAACTACTGTTTTGAAGGCTCTCTAACCTGTCTCAAAAAGTTTTTCCTTTTTGTAACATGACCTCTCCAGTACAGCCTATACCAAATAGACTCAAGAATCTGCCAAATAACTATTTACCAGTTGCTTTAGTATCAGTATTACTGAAAATGATGGAGAAAGAAGTAAATTAACATATTCAGAAATATTTAGTTTGCAAACCAAGAAACCAATGACTTATGGGCTTCAAAGATTAGACTAGAGAACTAGTCAAAAAAAAATTCAGTTGTTTGACAAACCTCTCTTGTCCAGAAAAAACAATTTCTTGTTCTTTTGGTCATTTTGTATTATGTTGATAATCAACGTACCCCACCTATCTCGTCTCAAGAAAGCATTATAAACCTGGTACAATTTTATCAAAATTGGCAGAATCAAATTTAAAAAATTCCTTATATTTAATCAATCTGAGTGACTGAAGATAAGAAATATTTGAATGAAATTTATAAGTGATACCATAATTCTGCTAATTCTACACCTCCCTATTATTTTATGTGTACATAGCACACAATCTGCAACAACTTACAACCTGCCAAAAAACTGATTAGTTTTGAATCAATCCTCTAGAGAAGTTTAACACTTTGTTCTGGGAAATATTATGAAAATACTTAAGTGAATAGACTAATACAACAATTATATATATGTGTGTAATCAGCCTTATTCAAGAGCTTAAAAAAAATAAAATAAAAATGCATTCTAAACTCAAAATGACTATATTTTATAGAAAAGATTATGATCACACTTTGAATGAAAATCATTAGGAATGATATTTACATAATCAATTGAAAAATTCATTCAGAGAATCAAGAAGAGAAAACTTCAGGTTCATGAATTGTTTTTCTTCTTTTTTCCACTTTGACCAACAGCAGGTACACTTTGAATAGTATGAACTTTCTGGGAGTATTGGTTCATGTAATACAAAGCACACAATGATATGAGTAGACTAAAAAACAATACCGATTTGTTATTGCTAATAAATAAAACATTTTTACTCACCAAGATGTTCCGCAGACACGATGAATGGTTGCCGAGGCGAACAGAGACACCAACAAGCTGAGTGATACTAAAAGAAAATAAATATTGTGAAAAACGAGAATTAAAACTTACAATGTTTCTTTACTACTTTCATTTGTAACTAAGGTTACTGCAATTTCGTCCTATTAAAACATTTTCAAACAAATACAATAACATCATTCAAGAATGTCCTTGTAGGACAAAACTGCACTAACATTAGTTACAAATAATAGTGGTAAAAACATACATAATGAAAAACCGTACCTTCAGGAAATAATTTCACTTGAAAGGACTTGCCAAAGATACAGGTTTCCAAATTTCCCAATCCTGTCAAAATTAAAATGAATAGAAGAGATCCCAAATATCCTCCTAGTAAAGTATGCAATTGTGATGAACTAAACCATGGCTTGAACATTTGCATCCCAGAGAATATCAATACAGAACTTATAGAGGCTAGTATTAAAGACATTTTAGTTGTTACCACTGAAAATTGAAAATAATCATTAAAATTGAATTTACATGGAAAAGCAAATACTCACCCATTGCAAATGATTATAATTAATTACTCTCAACACAAAAATGATTTATATAAAAACAATTATAAAATTTTATTCGTGGTTATGTCCTCATACTATTTCCGTTGTATGTTTAATGTTTACCCTCTAACCTTTAGGAATCGCTTTTGACGTTTAGAAATTAAGACATGTCGATCTGTCACTTTCTTTGCGGTGTTGCCGGTGCAGCGGTCTTAGAAATGTTCGTTTATGTAATCAGATATATAATTTGAGCGCTTAATTAGCTCGCTTCTTTCGGCTAGCTTTCGATAATTCAGATATGTCGTGTCCATTACATCTAGGTACTTTGTGTTCGGTATTTATGCCAGCGAGAAAAAATATGATCGGTTAGGGTCACATACAATTTTCTGTTTTCACACACATTTTTCTGTTTTCACACACATTCTCATTGATATAATAATGCCTTCTTAAACACTAGTCATTTTCAAACAGCTGTAACACCGTTACATCTATTCGAAACACCTTAGAAGCTATGGTGTTAGCGAAAAGCGTCTAGAAATAAGAATGTTTGTGAAAATTATTCAACTATCATCATGGATAATTTCAATAATATGTATTTTAGAGATCATGCTAAGATCATTCGTAGACATTCATACATATCAAGTTTCAAGAATAACAATTTCTCAGGAATCGTTGACTGTGACTTCACCCGCGTTTACCTTGCCAATGGTAAGGGATAGGAAATTCAAAGTAAGCGATACTTCTCTTGGTGTCGATATTGTGAACTACAAACAAATACATTGTTTATATTAGAAGTTATTTATGAGTATTCATTTTGTCGCTGTCTTGCTGTCATCATTTCAATTCTTCTAGCGGTGAAAATTTTGTCGCTTACCATTTTACTCCATACAAACATGAATGATTCAGAATCAAGTTGAAACAATATGTCTCTCAATGTGACTGGGACCAAATAGTAGGTAAAAATATCATAATGCTGTAATATCAATACTCATCATGTTCTGCGAAAAAGTAATGTTGAAGTTATAGTAGAAAGAAGTTTAGGATTGAAAAAGTCGGCAATTGATTGAAAAAAGGAATGTGGGAATCTTCCGAAGAAAGAAAGAAAGCAACCAATTTCAAAATAAACTCTACACAGAGATGTGAAACAGATGGGCTAAGAAGTTCCGGACCTAAGAAAGAAAACGCGTTTTTTTTGTTCAAATTAGCTTTCACTTCTTTGGTTTCATACAAATAATTATGAGGAAACTTCCAAAGAAAGCAATCAATTTCAAAATAAACTATTTTAAAAGATGTGTAGAAGTTACTTTCAGACATAAACTGAAAGAAAAAGCACTCTCGAAACAACTACTTCTATATGAACATTGCATTTATGCAGAACTAGTGAAAGTGCAACCTTCAAACACGTGTATCTTCCAAAGAAAATATGGGACAGTATTTTCATTAATAATGCTGCATTCCTCAATTCGTTTTCAAAACTCAAGATTCGGGACATTTTTGACAAAAAACAAGAAAATTATCGGTTCAAAAATTTTAATTACTCCTTTTTCGTTCAAACAGAGCTTAAATCTGTGTTTCTTGAATGATTTCACCCTGTTTGACCAATTCATGCTATTGAGATATGAGTAGTTTCTGAGAAACCGGGAATTTTCTAAAAAAAAGTGGTTAAAGCAAAAAAAACAAAAATTTCCCTAGTTCATTCTAAATGAATATTGATCTGAAAATTTGATTTTTTACTTCTACCTAGGGGGGCACTTTACACATAGAAAATCCTGAGTATCCAAAGATTGATGCGAAGGTGCTGCCTAAAGAAAGTAAAGAAAACTCCTTCATTTCCATTGGACACTGAAATAATGAAACAACGTGGCTTTCCTTTTGACGTGTACAATCAATGTTAAGTAAGAAGAGTGGAGACTTTGTACATAGACTAACTATAATCTATATACAATGGTGGAGATCTCTATCGTGCCATCTGTGATCCAGAGGACAACCTAAATTCAGTCAGATTAGCGTAATTTCACTCCTTCTAAATCATGATTGAAAGAATTCTAGCAAAAATTGAGAAAAGTCTTGAATTTGACAGCGTCTGACAGTTGTTTATTTCGTTCATTCATATTCGATTCATTTTTGTTAACAAACGTGATTTGTGGATTGGTGCTTGAAATTTCATATAAATTAGTGCGTGACGATAAATTATTTTTGCGAACTGCGTGACAACATTGTAATCAGAAGGGGGTAAGTCGGCTGTTTTAAATTATCCCTTTATATCTTCCTGTAGGTCTCTATTCATAAATGAACATTGATATTAGTTAATTCGATAATTATTCAACATATAACTCAGTTTGTAACTGAATAGTACATTCTTAAACATGCTAGTGAAACATGTGTTGTGTTAGTTGTTATTTATCTCTCACAAAAATTTCACATTTGAATCCATATTCGCCTACTCTTGGCGGTATAAATGTTTATTTAGATCACTGAAGGTAATGGTAACACCTGATTTTCAATGTTTTGCTTTTCAATGATGAAATTGGTACAATGTTGATATGACGATTCATCCATGCTCTGATAGAATTCATGTGCTGTTTGAGTACCACACTTGCTATCTAGGTCCCGAATTGTTGAAAGTGAAACTACTTTGTACAGTATCATAACATTTTATCCCCTTATTAATAACAAGTGAACCACGGGATTGCCATTTGCATTGTTCAATTATTACTGTGTTTTAGGATTGAAAACATATTTTTATCCCCTTAAATAATTTCCTATGTTTTATTTACTTGCTAACCTCAACTGCTTATCAGTGAAATTTTGTTAATTATTAATTTATATTTGAACAAGTCATCGCTCACTTAGAAAAACAAATGTTCAAAAAACTTTATGAAAGACATTAATGCCAGCTATTGAATTATAAAAAAGGGAAACTTCAGAAATGTATAGGTTACAATTATATCGAAATTCTTGCAATTATAAAGTGAGGTAAACAAGTCTTTTACCAGGTGCGAACTGGTCCTAGCTACATATTTTTTCACTTAATACAAGGTGTAGGTCTGAAACAGTATAAGAATATACACATTAGTATTTTAAAAAATGTTTTTGAAAACGATCCACCCACGATATTTCAGAAATGGCATGCAAAATTATCAAGGTACGCAGGGGCGGGTTCGATTTGTCTCTGTGGAGGGGGGTGTGGGCCGCACTAAAAGCATATATGTAAGTGGAAGTTTTAATGGAACATTCGGCGACCAAAGGTCCTAATACAAAGCACTACAATCGACAGTTTCTGCCGCTTCAAGGTCTGCTCTTTTAATCAGTAATTTGTAACATATGACCTTAAAAAAATATTTATTTGCATTATTGGAAACGAATATGCTTTAAGTTTTCGTTATACAACTAGGTTTCCTAGTTTCTTTCCATACATACTCAAAGTAGAATTGTACAATATATAATGAGTAATTTCGTAGGAAAAATTTTATCTTTGAGTCTCCAACAATAAATTCTGTACAAGCTTTATTCATTATATTTCAAATGATTCATTGACTGAAATTGCTATATTTTGGAGCCTATTTTTCATCAGGAAACTCGTAAATATAAAGTAAAAAGTAAATTTTACATAATGGGTTGTGAAAAGTTTCAGAAACAATTGTCTTTAACATTTACGGTACTGAATATGCTCAATATTGATACAGGCTTCAATATATTTCTAACAACTTTTCATTTGAATGATTTTGAAAATTTATATTCATATGTTTGTAAGTATATATAGATATTTGTATCATTTTTGCATTTTCATTCATTGAAATATGAATATTCCGGCAAGTTCATCATAATCTTATCTTTTCTCAATTGGTTAATTGATAGCTCGAAAGTAACCTGGATTGATTTTTAAATAGTATAAATATTATATTGAACCAACCTTTTCACGATTCGGTGAACAAGCAGATATTTGTCACTTAATACACCTGAGCCGACAATAAATCCCCACCTCTCTTTATTGTTTTCTTACTTTTTCAGAGACCATCGATAACCATTTATAAGTGATTCTCTTTCGAATACCTTCATATTTGATAACTAGGTCGTATCCAGGGACTCGTATTGTCTCTAATCTTGTTTATTAAACGTCAACTACGCGTTGAAAAATAGGAAACTAATATATTAGGTTAGGTAAGGTTCAAAGTGGATGTACCACTGCAACTTGCGAAAGTTTATTGTGGCTCACATCTACCAATTCAAACTCGATGAAGCGATCAGTTTTTGTGATTGTTCTACCAAAAACTGATGATTCAGATGACAATGACCTGTAAGTAGGTCTATTAGACAACGTGTTACTTGCAGAAAAGCCGCTTGCAGTGCCCTCCAACGCAAGAGAGTCAGAAGATTCATTAGAGGAAACTCTGTTTTGGTAGTTCGCTATACTAACTTCGACGTTGATCGGTAAGAGACAAGTGCTTCCAGAGCCGTTTGCTTAGAGATCCTTTTTATTGATTCATATGTGAAGTTTGTTTTCGCAATTCTCCATTTATGCCTAAATAACGGTCACAAGGTGAAAACTCTGCTCTCAGTATTTCCTCATCTCAGATGATATAGCCCTCCCTACTCGGGATTATGACAAGTCGTAGTTGTCTATTGGAGATAATTTTCAGAATGCTGATTAGTGTTTACCGTTTCCTGTTATTCGCGAAAAGCACAATTCTGTATGTTTTTCATCTAGCCTCTCTCTCTCTAGAAAAATTGAGAAGGGAGGTAGGTGGTAGGTCTATAGAGAAAAATGACTGCTCATGCAGTGTAGATAGTACCGGAGCTAGCCAGGTAAGCCCTTTTCTGTACACTGCAGAACTCTGCCAAAACCGTTTGCTGTGAAGCTTTCGACCACCAGCCAATTGGTGATCATTGCTCTGACAATCCAATTTAAAACAAGCACTGTCATAAATACCAGAACTGCAACACTCTACCCGACGCACGTCGGGTAGAGTGTTGGTAACAATTCGTGTTTTCGATTTAATCTATTCCAGAAGTTCCATTTCGACCTTTCGAACTGGGCGTTTTTGGTTAGTTTTTTTATCGATGATTAGCTGCTTTTTTGGATGCTTACAATGAACATCGTCGAACGTTTTCGACGTAGTCGTTATCTAGATAACAATATCATCTGCACAAGCATACACATCTACTTATCT